TGCCTGAAAAGACTTAATAGTTTTAAAAAATAAAATCATTTAAACCATAAATCTGAAAAAATCTATAGAATATAGAAACCTGATTGAAATCAATTAGGTTATATTTAAAAAAACATATCCAGAAATAACTTCAGATTGTTCTATTCCAACTAAAAATAACTATTKTATGGCAACAAAGATTTTAAAACACTTGTTTTCTTACATTTGCAGCTGTTTGTTGTTTAATTTCTCAGCACCAGAACAAAATTAATAATTTATAACCTACACAGYATGACAACACACAACCAGTTAAATAACTTATATCCTAAAAAATACTTGCACTTCGTAGAAGCGTCAGTGTTTTTGATCATATGCTTGGCGTGTTCTGGGAGCTGCGTTGGTTACAAAGACGTTCACCATCCTGTGTTGTAGATCCAACACGTGCTCAGATCTAACAGATGTGTTGACATCAAGCACAAATCCAAGAACTAGCAACAGAGAAATCAAATTATATAATCTAGCAACACAGTTTGATTTTTAATTGTTTTCCAGAGAACCATTAAGATAATCCCAGGAGTGGAGGTTTCTTCTTAATTAAATTATTCTGTAATGTTGACATTTATACATGCCTATTTAATTCTGCAAAGATCAAGTCAACAACAGWAGTCTAGATTCTGTGATCGTAACGCTCTACAAGATAGTTTGCTCTTTCATTAGTTCTGCATCACTCTGAAAAAGTTTTAAATGACAACTAATTAATTCCTTTATACTTTGTTGTCAAGTTGTCAGACTTWTTTTTTTTTTTCAAACCAGTTTCCTTGCGTGGGTATGTTTTCAGGTTTTTCAAAGTTTTTTTCTTTGGTTGCCTGTTCACTCTTTTTCTGTTCAGTCTGGGGCTGCTACATGAGACGCTGGGGGCAGAATCACTGCTATTGTCTGCTGTTGCATTGGAGAAGGGGTGCCGGCCTGCAAACTACAGAAGCAGCAGTGGACAATTCAAAAAAGCAATAATAATAGCAGAACAAAAAGACGATTGCACCGAAGTTACCAAAAATCAACTACAATGCAGACTCAGTCATTCCATGGCAGAGCAGCAGCAGTAAAAACATGATCACCTGAGACACTAACACGCTGCAGCTGTCCTCTGCAGATGRGTARGTTTCAGAAAGTTGAGTTGTTCTTCAGGTTGATGCCTCATAGATCA